ATTTCACTGTACATGAAAAATAGATGTGCTCTTATTTTTTTAGTACATATCAATATGCATATACAAGGTAATTAAAAACAATCTGATTTCCTTGAAATGTCGTATTCTTAAGCGAATTCTGAGACGATTTTTCCTTTTACAAAATTTTGTCCGAAGCTTAGTTTTTGAGTTATAATTGAGTTATAATTGAAAATAAAATAGCTATTTACGAGTTCGATACAACGGGCAGGCAAAGATGAATGCATCACGAGACTCACTTTACAATTTCACAATAAATATCATTGGAAACATTACTGTTTTTACTATAGTACTTAATTATACTCTTGCAAATATCAATTTCCACATAAATTAAGACATAAAATCCCACGATAAATGATATTTATTATAAAATTGTGAAGTGAGTCTCGTGACGCGTTGCGCCATCTCTGCCTGCCCATTGTATCGGACTCGTAAATAGCTAACTATTTTCAATTATAACTTAAAAACTAAAAAACTAAACTTGGGACAAAATTTTGTAAAAGGAATAACTGTTTCAGAATTCGTTCAAGAATATGACATTTCAAGGACATCAGGTTGTTTTAAATCACCCTGTATATCTCTTTTTATTTTGTAGTTATCACAACGAGATTAAGATATGATGGTGTACAATCTAATTTTTTTGCTTCTTGCATAGAAACTCGTTATTGCATAAAAATGTTTCTGCTTATTAAGCTCTTAACAGAAATAAATAAATTATAAGTGGACAAATCTTCAACAATATTCTCAATGTATGCTATCTTTTTTTTTTTTTTTTGTTACCGACGGCGTTGCCTCTTATTTCATTTCATCTCGCGACGGTTCTTTCTTCCAGGCCCAAAAAATGAAGGCAAACGACCAGATTCGCACGAAAGTGTAGCTGATGCCCTGGGCATGCTCTCTCGATTTTCCACGAAAATCATTTGTCTAAATTACAGGATAAATCTTTCTCTGTCTTGCCTGTTTGTAACTCGTAACGTATTATAAAAAGAAAAACTATATATGAAAACAACATATTTACGTGCTACATTATACGCGATTCCGCTGATTCTAAGAAATGTATTATCCGATGAAAAAACTCAGAAGATCGCAAACAGGACTGGTCAATGGCCTTATCGGAAATTATTTCAAATTCTTTACAGACGAACGCTTGACACTTACAAACGGCTAACATTAAAATGAAAGAAGTGCTGCTTTCTCTTCTATTTTAGAACAGAATATAAGATATCTTAATTCCTAGCTTATTTCCTTGTAAAATGTTAAAAGATGTAAATGTCAAGAGTTTTTTATTTCTTCTTTTTTGTCACATTTTCTTGCATGATACATAAATCACTTGATGACATTAATAAAACGTAAAACATGAAATTACATCCAGATCAATACGGCTTGGGTTATAAGAAACGCTAAGATTGTACCAAAAAACGCGAATTGCGCGAATCAATAAACATATTACGTTACAACTTTGAGATGCCGGATAAACACGAAGATGCTGTAATATATATGGAGACCAGATGATCGATACTTTTCTACGTGCCTCGGAGTTATGACGATCGTGCATATAGTTATCCTTTACTTTGTCTGGGGCGTCCGAAGGAGATTAATGTCGAGGATTTGTCGAGCGTCATCGTCCTCCTCCAAGTTGCATCAACGTCGCGGAATTCACGCCCGTCGCGTGCGTCGTTTCATCGTTTTATCCGCGATCGTGTCTTATCCGTGTGATCTAATCGCGTATTCCCGGTAGCGCCGCCCACACGACGACGACGACGACGACGACGACGATAACGACGGGACCCCAGGCAGCGCGTTTGTATGCACGCGGTTACCGAATCCGGCGGAGCGCCCGGGCCTTTGACTTTTTCACCTCTAGACGGGATCATTGATTTCGGCGAAGGCCGCGGCGCAAAAACTCGCAACACAACGCTTAAGCTATTTGCGGAACGTCCATACACCTCCCTGTACTATCGAGCGTTTCTTTTGTTTGTATTCTTATTAGCTACCTCGTGCGCACTTTCGATTCATAAAACTCGCACTGAAGATCAGATATAAGATCTCTTCCCTGAATATTTATGTATATGTTAGTTTAAATGCGTTATGGGGAAAAAAAATGTATAAAGTAACAAAACTGTTTTGCAGAGATCTACATTTCTAAATTTATTATCAAGTAGCATATTAAAGATTTATCTTAAATATGAAATTGTACGTATTTTGCGTTCCTGTGCTCTGAATTCTTCTCTCTCTTATACAGAAATATCAAATCGTTTTTTAAGGGAGAGACAAGGAATGTTCCTTGCCGTCATCAATTTTTCTGTTTTGTAATCGCGTTACTAATAGAGTTATAAATTATTGGAGTTGTTCTGATGAGATGTCAACGATTATAAATGCTCGACAATTGTACCTTTTACTTTACATTCGACATATGAGAAAGATGAATGTCGAATTCTCCACACGGATATCTTCTCAATGTTACCTGCCGTGTCGTACGCCAGACGTAAAATCTGTCATAGAGCATGTGTATCCGCGAGCACGCACGCGGATACACATGGAATGTAGTTAAACCACATAGTGACCGCATGTACCACGTGGTCATCAAATACTGATTTTGGACATCGGCTTGCGTCATCGACGGCTTGCGCGTTCGAGCATCGCATGAATGAAACGAGAAGAGGAGAGCGTGCACGTATACGTCCGCGCGCTCTCTCGTGCGTATATGTGTGCGTGCACGCTCACGTGCACGCGTGTAGGCCGAGTAGTGCGAAGCTCCAGCATTTAAATGGGATTTAAAGCGAACGCACAGCCGAAACGGGTTGCGGAGGTCGCGTTTTAACCGTGAACGACCGTGAGAAACGATTCGGCGTCGCTCTTGAATTATACGCGCCGCGTCTCCGTTACGTTTTATAGTACTATAACGAGCACTCTCGTACACAAATTTCTTACACAATCGACGATTCTCGTCTGAACGGCAAGACGCCGATGAAAACGGATTAAAATCTGGTACTGTATGAGATTCGAGACAAATTATTTTTGTCATTTAATAGTTTTATTGTTTAATACGGATTGTTTTTCGATATAAAAAGTTTGATAAACGATTGATAATTTATCACAATTTTTAAAAGTGAAGTTCTCTTTTTAAGGATGTATGTATCATATGTCAAAACATTGACAAAAGCATGAAAATGTCGTACTGTTATACTATTTCTTCTGAGTATCTGAGCATAATTCTCTTAACAATTTGGAAATTATTTAAGTTTAAAATTAGTATTGATTTTTATGAAAAACCGTGTATTGTAGCATTTATTGACAAGGAAAAAATATTGCCAACGAAACAAAAATTTTCACATATATTGAGTAAATCCTAATAAATATTTGTGCAAAACTTGATTTAGATCAATTTACTCGTTTAAAAGTTATTTACTAAAAAGTGGAGAAAAATATTATCTCTCTCTCTCTCTCTCTCTCTCTCTCTCTTTCTCTCTCTCTCTCTCTCTCTTTCTCTCTCTCTCTCTCTCTCTTTCTCTCTCTCTCTCTCTCTCTTTCTCTCTCTCTCTCTCTCTCTTTCTCTCTCTCTCTCTCTCTCTTTCTCTCTCTCTCTCTCTCTCTTTCTCTCTCTCTCTCTCTCTCTTTCTCTCTCTCTCTCTCTCTCTTTCTCTCTCTCTCTCTCTCTCTTTCTACAAATTACTCATTTTCTTTTGTTTCTTGCAATTGATTTCAGGGGGTATTCACGATCAAAAGTTTTTGTCATAAATTAGGAAAAATATTAATTACAACTATTTTCTTTTACGAAGATATTAAAAATCTTGAATATATTATTTTGTGATACTTTAATTCTTTTTATAATCCGGATTTATTTATTTGATTTTTCAAATAAATGTAAGAAATGTTTTTTTTTTTTTTTATTTTAACAGTTTTTCGCTACTATTGTACAGCCAAAAAATCCTTAAGGTATATATTTTGCATAATTTGTTCTATAGGCGTGAAAACGCCGAATAGCCTCGAAGACGCGAAACGTTTTCTAATATTGGATTTGGGCACGCGATTACGTAAAAAGTGTGCGTATACTTGCCACACTTTATTTATCATCGACATCTTCAAGCAAATCCTTTGTCGTCCAATTACTTTCTAACATTCGTTCGTGTCTAATTTTGGACGGTCGATTAAACCTCGAGCTCGAAGTTTGCGAAAATGATATCGCGATTTAGCTGCTTGCCAAGCGCTTATTTAATTACGAGTGTTTGCTAACGATAGCGAGTCTGTTTCGACTCTTTACATTTCACAGGCCGTTGTAACATCTAACTATATGGAGAAGGCTCTTTATTTTGCTGCTCCCATTATCGCCACTTAATCGTATTCAGCCGAGCATTTATTATTATTTATCGATACTTATCAGTATTATTTTATCATTAGCGAGAATTAATAACAACTGAATCTAATTACTTTAAATTTTACGGTCTGCGAAATACTCGTTCGGCCTCGACTCGGGCATTGACCAAGGTCTTCGAGCAATACGATAAAATACCAAACGAAGAGCTAAAATTGGAAGCAACATTTTTATGACTATACCTCTCGCGTGCCTAATACAATTACTTGTTGCGTAACAAGGATCTCATACACGGGATTAGCATAGCTCTCTGATTCATATTCACGCGTTTCTGTGACACGTTAGATAACTAAACCGCAGTACCGCATAATCGCATTTGACATTGGAGTTTACACGTAGCCGCGTATATGCATGCGCGTTCAACTGTATCTTTGTGCAGTTAAACATCATCTCTCGATTAGTTTAATTTTAGACTATCTCGAAAAACTGAAAGATATTTATTTACTCGATTACGAAATGAACCGTGCGCAATATATTATCGTTCGATAAATATTTTTCTATTATCCCCGGATACGGCGCCGCAATGTTATTACACGTGATCGCTCTTGATATCTATTTTGTATATCGCGTATATATCGGGGAAGAGCGTAAACGTATTTTTTTTTTGCAGACTGTACGTCACGAGTGATGTATCGCCCGCGCAAAACTGCTCAAAAACCAACGATACGCATGGCCTGCCGGGAATTTTACACAGCTCGAGGACACGCCGCCTTCTCTAACGCGCCTTTGCCATTAGCGAAGGCCATATAGAAGAGAAATAATTGCAAAACTTCTCGGTGGCTATCAAGGCCGCCGATTTTTTTTTTCCTTTCTAACGGGACGGGACCGCATTATTTCTGATGTCGTTGAACGGTCGATCGATAGCAAGGTCCGGCCTTGGTATTGAGCCTACATATTGATCGATCTTTCCTTGATGGCATCACGATCTGAACAGGGGCAGTCACCGAGATGTGATTCTGATTCATTCGATAGTACTTTCGATCATAAAACTATAGTTGTCCTACAAATATCGTTTTACAAATACCAGGGCATCTTTGTATACTAACGATCGACTCGCAATGCGGTATTTTCACAAATTAACGATATTAATTACAATATTAAGAAAATAATTATATTTAAATTTCTAATATGTATATCTGTATGTGTGTGTTTCTAAATCTCATTAGTATTCATTTTATTATTCGTGAATTTTTCGCAATTCGCTTCACTACACATTCCTAGTCGCAACGCAATGGTAAAACCAATCGTTAAAACGCTTATTTACTATAAATTTGTTTTTGCCGGATCGTGAAAGAAGTGACTCGAAAAGTCGATAGAATACTTAATGTCCAGTGTCTCTTATATGATAGTCACTACTATGTTCACGCACAGGCTCAAAACGCGGTCGAAGTGAAACGGTTTCGAAATGCTTGTAAACGTTTCTTAACCGGGCGATATCGTCGTGTCGGTGTTGCTGTGCTTAATTAATAAGAGGGTTCTCCTTTCTCCAAATTTTTTTGCAGAAAGTCCTAGACAACAGACTGGACGACAGGGTCGACAGTATGGTGGAGGCCGGTTTGCTGCAGGAACTACTCGACTTTCATCGCAGGTACAACGAGCAACGGATTAAGTCCAACACGTGAGTGCACCTCTTGTTAGCATCGTCCTCTCGTATTGCAAAATTCGATACAAGTTCAAGGATTTGCTGCTTCCGCGTCGCTTTTTCTTTTTTCTTCCCTCTTAATTTTCTCATTTTTAATTTAGCTGTATATATGTATACGCACGTAAATGATATATAAATTATTCGATCTATTATGTCAAATATGATCTTAACGTTGATATATTATAATGACAGAAATTGTATATAAAATTTGTTTGTAATTTATAATTTGTGTATTTTTTTTTTTTACTTTTGTCATAAATTCTATTATTAGACGCTTATTTATCCCTCTAAAAAAATTGAAAGAGAATTCAAACATTTTTTTACCTGTTTCTTTTGGTCAGAAAAATCTTTTAATTCTTTTAAACAATTGTTTTATGATCTCACAATATATATTTTTTCCATAAAAATAGGCTCAGTTGTTTTCAAGAAAAATTATTTTTCTGATTTCACTTTCTCCCTCCATAACTCCTACAAAAATACAATTGTGATCAAACAAATATTTAAACATTTGGAAATAATCTGAGAATAAGAAAATTATAGACATGCCTGTCTCTAAAGAGGGATTTCCATTCGGCTTAAACATCAAAATGGAGATTTTAAATTGTACGCGTATCGGATTTGTGATGTAAATTATGATCAATATTCAAATAACGATTATCGTTAATATTACGAAATAGTACTCAGAAATATTATTTGAATTGAGGCGGGACTTCACCGATTCGAATCAGTACGCGTCTTGATTAGCATCTTTCTTCTGAAGGAACTTTGCGAACATAATAAATAAAATTTCCTTATTGCAAATAGAAAATATATATGGGAATGCGTCAAGGATAACGAGTGAATCAGTATGCGGAGTTGTAGCTTATTGTGTGATTTGTCGTGATAAATGAAATCTCTCGATTCTCGTCCCAATACACGTAATTCTGTTCATTAGATATGCCATTTATCTTCGAGACAATTTTATTTATTTCTTTGGTTACATAAATCTCGATAAACTTTTTTAACAGCATTTTATTTTTGGAGTATGTCTTACCGCGATTTATATACAAGTCGTCGAGAAACTATTTTTATTCTTTTTATTTATAGATTTTTTGATCAAGTTAAAATTTGCTCTGTCCAGATGAAAGATTGCACGCAAATTATAACGATTTATATACAAATCGTCAAGAAGCTAGTTTTATTTATAGATTTTTTGATCAAGTTAAAATTTGCTCTGTCTAGATGAAAGATCGCATGCAAATTTTAGCATTTTATATTAGATACTTTTGTAAAATAAACATTAAATAAGTAATAAGAAAGTAATAAAAACGTCAGATTATAATCGATTTACACGACAAACAGATAAGAAAAAAAATAGTTAGCATATAAATAATAACTCTAATCATGAAAAATATAATTATAAAATAATACACGGATTTTTAATTACAGTGTCTATTTCAATTACAAAGAATTTGATCAATCTATTTTAAAGATAAAACATTAAAACATTGCAATACCAATATATGAGTATCAAGAAACGTTAAATGAAAAAATTGCTGATATAAAATAATTGGACTAGAATTTTATATTTTTTCCTTCATATACTTTTTATTTAGTATTGACTTTTTCTACTATATAATTGTAGTTGAAAACTAAAAAAGAAAATTTAATTTCCATGTCTTATCCGTGTCTTATCGAATGCACGCGTACCGTGTCGGTGCCATGCGTGTCGGCGAAGCACGTATGATCCGACGACTGCTCTTATATTGCCGTTAATGCAGACATACTTTATGAATGGGGCCTACACGCTTCGCCTTACTCGTTTCCGGAAGTTGCGGCCGGATGTCGGTGTGAAAATAAAGGAAGTAGCCAGCCGCGAGGAAAAGCACGGGCGCGCGATTATGTATACCCAGTGTTGGGCCGAAAATTAATCACAATTTAATGAGCTGCCGCCTCTTCCATTCCTCCTCCTCTCTTCCATACCCAGTATGGAAGGAATGCATATGTATATGTGACAGTTAGATAATCGAAACGTGGTTTTTCCCATAACCAGTGTCGACTCTGAATTTTCACCGTCTCAGAAGTAGAGGACGTGATAGTGCGGAATGCTAATTACTCGGCGAACCATGGTAATTGAACGGCGCAATTAGCAACTTGACTGACGTAGGGATAGGCATATTTTTCATGTGCAAATATGTGGTTAACTCCAAGATAAATACAATATGTAATCAACTCAAGTTAATGTATTTGGTGGAAAAATTAGTTTGGTTCACACGACACGGATAGGAGAGATTCGAGAATTCAAAATCAAACATATTCGTGTTTTAAGTGAGTAAATTCAAATGATATCGTAGTTAATCGCAAGTATGATGAATGTATTTATCGAAGTATAAAAAACTGAATCATTGATTGTAGAAATGCGATGCTGGAGGCAATAGAGCGTAGTAGATAAGAACGGCAAATATCAAATATTTTATTATAATTGATGTATTGATCAGATGTGACAGGTAATTGATTATGAGAAAATATAACACAAGCGGTAGAGCAGAAAAAGTGAAAAAGCAATGGGAAAATATCATGTGTCGTGATTACGACAGAAAAATCGAGAGGGAAGAAAGTGCGGTCTGAAAATTAATTATTTTATCACGACCAGAGTAGCAATGCGCCACACGAGTGATAAATAATAGCATGGCAAAAGTTCATTCGTGAAAGAAAACGGTATCGAAGTAAAAGTTTCTTGATCGCAAGCCAGAAGTTGGTAAGAAATCCTGAACAGTCAGAAAAGACATTAGTTAGCTTCGAGTTTACGTATAACAGTTCGTGTAACTGTTTTTACAATAGGCAAAAGATGTTGCACCGTTTTTATAATTTAGCGTGGTCTAGATAATATACAAATGTAGAAAATTTAATTTAATTTGAATTATTATTACTTAATTTTCTTTCACGTGAGCATACACATAACAATCTCTCACAGGAAATTATTTTTCTGTTGATTCTTTGACGAATTTGTGATTCAG